TTTAAATCAATATTTGAATCCCATATGTCAAGCAAATCAAAGCCTAATAATCCATCGAAATAATGGTGAAATTTGTATATAAAAAATTTTATATTATCATTTTCGTTAAATTCTGGGAAACAAGGCAAGTTAATAGAGTAATCATTTTTACTGGTAGCATGTACATTTGTTACTTCAAATGGTTCGTAATTAAGAGGAATGTGACTGAAATACTTTTGTACAGCTTCTGGACTGATGAAAGATTGATTTGCTCCCGTATCAATTAAAAATTTAAGAGGTGGATTACTAATCTGAATATACCCTAATTGTCTTTGTATATGGAAATTTAACTCTATTTTGGTTTTTCTGATGTTATAGCTTCCTGAAAATTTGAATTGTCCTGCACATGTGATGCTTGTTCAACCTCTTCCATTACCGGCATATCGGTATTGAAATCTTGTTCGGTGTTAAAGTAATAATCATTATATTGGTCGTAATTATAACAGTTTTCATATTCGTATTCCGGATAATAATAAATGTACTATAATTATCGGTATATGCGGGATAAAATTCGTTGAAGTTTGCTTCGCGTGTTTTAAAATAGTTACTAGGCGGCGGGTTCCCGAATTTTCGCCAGTCATGTCCATGAGGAGGTAATACTTTAGGGACATACGTGCTAACACCACTCATTGGGCGCGGCGAGTTTTTAAAATTAAACTGTTGAGGCGGCTGCCTGTTAGGAAGTCGGAAAACGTTACTTTGAGGGTTATAGTTTGGTGGGGGTGCGCGCATAATTTGTTGAGTACGAGTGGGACCTCGTGGTGGTAATCCGTGTGGTAGTACATTATGTTTCCACCCTTGGTTTGGTTGCGGTTGAGTTGTAGATTGCCGTGTATTGAAACCCTGTTGTCTAGACGGTCCCGGCATATTGAAAGGAATGGATTTCGGTATAAAGTTATTTAGGGGTAAGTTATGCGAATTATGAGCTTGTTGCCAATCCTTTTTTTGTACGGTATTTTCATAGCGCTGTTGCATATATAAGGTATTGAGCTCCTCTTGAACAAATTCAAGGGCTCTTTCTATGGTTTCAGGGCGCATACAGCGTATCCTGTAACCCAAGGGGTCTTTTAAACCACGTAAGTACGCTTGAAGAGTAACCTTTTTATAAAGCGCGCGTTTAGGCTCTATAGTTGTTTGAATTGATTCGTGAAGTGATATGTATGTCATTAAGGTGCTGTATAAATTTTGACAACGCTCGTAGAATTCCTGGGGGGTGCTAGAACCTTGCGTCTGTACAGATAAGTCACTGTATAAAGCTGTTTCATCACGATGATCGGCGAAATTATTGATTAATGCACTCCTAATACCCTGCCAATTTTCTGGTAACCCGTTAGAATTAATAAGTCTAGCAGCTTGTCCCGAAATCTTATTTAATATTCCGTTAATTAACGCTAAATTAGCTAGTTCATTGCCCGGTTCAGTATTACAGTGTGTTAAAACTAACTGGTCACAAATATTAATAAATCTTGTTAAAATATGTGGATTGCCGTCGAATTCCGGTACTAACCTAAGGGACTTATATATGGTATCGATGTCGCTGCTATTCATTTCTATATGTAAATTTCTATGTTGGTCTAAAATATTAATTCTACTATTACTTGACTTACTACTACCTATCCTAATATTCCGTGATTCTCTAGGATGAAAAATCTTGGATACTTAAAATTACACATATAAAATAATATTAAAATATATTAAAGTATGGGAAGTAAGGACTGAGAAAGATTCTAAGTACTTACTGCATATTACTCGAACGTAGAACAGGTACAGGCGGATCTTGATACACTTTCGAATTTTTGAATAACTCCACTGTAGAAATCCCGTAGAATTCGAATACTCAAATATATTATATATATATTTTTATGAGTATCCTACCGACTGCGCCAATTATGGATTCTACAGCCGGAGGTTGTAAAAAAAAATCCAACCTTTTTCTTAACTTAAATTTATTAATATAAAATAATAATTACAATGCTTATAGTTCGATGTTAGAACAGAATAAGATTGATTTATATAATTCTATAAAAATGAAATGTAACTATAGGCATGACGCGATATGGCGTGATGCTCATTGCTGATCAAGCATTTGGTGCCGCGTGCAATGTTTATTGGGGACAGTGCAAATGCAGCAGTCCTTCTATACTAGGCTTGCGTAACATATTGAGAAACTGTAAAGTGACGTAAATAAATAAACTGAACCAGTAGCATTATGGTATTTATACAGAAAGATACATATATAAAGATTAAAGTTATAATTATTAGATTACAATTCGAGTATAAATAAATAGATATCCGTAACTGTGTCCCAGACATCCCTATCATCCGTTCCGTGGTTTTTTAAGCATCCAAACTGAGTCTGGTATTCCGCATCTTCACACTAATTGGTTGTGCAAAGTGGGCCCTTGTTACGACTCTGCCGGTGTTGGTGTCTTACGACCTCGCGAGGTGTTGTGTGCCGAGTATAATATTGGTTTTAACCGACTTCAAATTCAATGGACTTGTTATGATTACCTATGTTTTTTTTTGACATTTTTTCGCACTGATTACCCCGTATTCATACTGATGAAGCCTTTCGGATGTAGTCGAAACAAATGGGTCCGTAAGACGAAAACATAGTAGGTAGAAAAGATAGTAACCTTTGCACTACTCGTCATCTACTGGGATTCCATCCCCAAGCGCTGGAACCTATGTGGTCTCGGACAGGGCTCTACTACTACCACAAGTGTTTTTAAATACATAATATACATAGAAAATAACCAGACCGATATAGGCAATCATACTTATGAACCCTGTGGGATTCGGGGGTCATTCGGGGTTCCAGACAACTGATATAAATACATAAATATTTTTCTAAATACATACACAATGTATATACAAAACATTCAGACCGATACAAACAATGATACTCAGGAATACAAATGATTGAACCGTCCGAGGAATCGAATCCGCGAACATCAAAAGTGAGGCGGTGTGATATAGGTACCGCCATATCACCGAGGCCGTCGATATATATAGCATTATTACAGCAATACACTAGCCTCTTGTTAAAAACAAAATAGTCATATGTTATCTATGATCTATACCTACCTCAAAAATAAAAATTGTTTCCTATGATATACGTTTGTGTAATTTTCAAAAACATTTGCGTTTTTCAAGACTAAATAAAAGGTCATAGTATAACAAATTATCGTCTTCAAAAAAATCTATTTTTAGCAGTTGTCAAAGTAGACTCATCTGAAGCAACAATCTCCTGTGGTTGTTTGTTCGTTTGCACAGTTCACGAGCTACCGTCAAATTAACTCGCGGGGATGTGGCAAAACGTTCGCAGTTTAACTACAGTTTTATTTACGTATACTTAAAGGTGGGGCATTGTAAGGCGGCTGATGTTTAAACAATACCTAAATGTCTATATTAAAGAAAAAACATTTATTTTTATGTTTTGGTCTATACTATGGTATAGACCAAAACATATCAAAAAATGTTAATAGAATAAGAATAAGAAAAGTACAGGGAGTACGGTGATTAATTTGACGGATTGTCAAGAAGTGATGAAATTAAAATTGTACAAGACCATAACTATTATAAATACAAATGATATTAATACGCGAAGCAAATACTTTGTGGGTCCCCTTTTTCGAAAATTGCATGAACGGTGGAGTATGAAATTTTGCACACTTATAGAGACTCAGTGCAGAAAGCTAATATTTTTATTAATTATCCATAAATAATACATTAAATCAATAAAAAAGCATTACATACACTACCCCTGTATTTAACACACGCGCTTATATTTTATTATACTCTTTTGTTTAATATGTTTTTGCTGGTTCAAAGATCTTTTTGAAATTTTTGAATTTCGACCACTAGGCGATTATAAAAGATTAAAAAACATTTATAATCAGCCAGTTACAATAATTTGTATATATAATTGCTTCCAATTTTAAAATCAGACATTCAAAAATGTAATAAGTAAAATCCCTTAGGTGTTCATTGTTAGTACCCCTATGTAGCCCACGTGCATGTAACTTTTAATATTGGAGCGACAATTACCGTGCTCGGATGAGTGGAAAATATTAATATTAAGTACAAGGAGGGAGGTTTGATAAATCGCCATTTTCCATCCAGATTTAGCAGGCCGCGTCCCTTTTTATGGTACTCCATTGTGTTCATCAGTTGGAATGTTAATTTTGTATTTTTTATTATATTTTTTATTTACTTCTCTGCAATCTATATGGAGATATTGACGAGTTAGCACACAGCTTTACTTCTATTCCTCTGTGTCATTTAATTCAGTTGCCAAGCAGCTTTGTAAGATGTGTTTTGGTTGAGAATATGCAGAAAAATTACAGGGTGAGAGTCATGACGCTTCTCTGCAATGTATATGGAGATATTGCCTACTTAGCACACTGCTTTATTTCTATTCGTCTGTGTCATTTAATTCAGTTGCCAAGCAGCTTTGTAAGATGTGTTTTAGTTGAGAATAGACAGAGAAATTACAGGGTAAGAGGCATGACGCTTCTCTGCAATGTATATGGAGATATTGACGGTTTAGCACACAGCTATACTTCTATTCCTCTGTGTCATTTAATTCAGTTGCCAAGTAGCTTTGTAAGATGTGTTTTGGTTGAGAATAAACAGAGAAATTACAGGGTAAGCTGCATGACATCTTAGTGTACTTATTTTGATACTCAAGTAGCTTTTAATATTTATTTATTTTTGTTAGTCCTACTATTTGGCCGTTTGTATCCACACAAAATGCTAAATATGTAATACTGAACTACATTTAGTTAAAGAGCAACACGCTAGTTACTTGCTCGTTCATCTTGTGACGAGTCTACTGTCCAAATGAGCGGTAATATAAAAAATTGAATTTATATTTGTTAAATTGAATTGACTATGTTGACGTCCAACATAATTGATGTTTTTTTTAATTATGAGTAAACTGTTATTTTTACTTTCAGTGCCGCTGGTGCGATGTGTGACCGGACCAGCTTCGGTGGCTCCATGGGCCACTTCCCAATGGGCCACATGTCTATGGGTGCTATAGGAACCATGAGTTCCATATCAGCCATAAACGGGCAGGTCCAACAGAAAAAGTCCCAAGAGGAACACATAAAGAGGCCCATGAACGCTTTCATGGTATGGTCGAGGTTACAAAGGAGGAAAATCGCTCAAGATAATCCTAAGATGCACAATTCGGAGATTTCTAAGAGATTAGGTATGTTTTTTTATCCTGAATGTGTAAATACTAGAGACTATAATTAATTTAAATAATAAGTTTGAACATTATTAACGGCTTGATGACCTCGGTGGTCTAGAGGTTTAGCACACCGCCTTAATTCCGATGATCGCGGGTTCGATTCCTTGCACGGCACAAACATTTGTATTCATGAGTATGATTGTTTTTTATCGGTCGGTCGGTATGAAAGTATGTGGGTGAAATTGTTATATCTTAAGGCTAGTGTTGGGATGTTGGAATGCCACCTGTGGACGAAAATTTTCACTGTTTCTACCTGCCATTGTATTTTTAGTTCTATTGTCAGATCAGTATATTTAACACTAGCTTTTGCCCGCGGTTTCGCTCGCGTTAATTTATCCTCTTAGGGGTGGAATTTATCAAAATCCTTTCTTAGGGGATGCCTATATCATAGTAGCTTTATGCATGCACAGTCTCCGCCCGATCGGTTTAAAATTGACAGTTTCATACAATCTTTCATCCCCAATTTTATCCCCTTGGGGGTAGAATTAGTCAAAATCCTTCTTAGCAGATGCCTAAGTCATAACATCTACCTGCATGCCAAATTTCAGCCCGATCCGTCCAGTGGTTTGGGCTGTCCGTTGATAGATCACTACGTCAGTCACCTTTGAGTTATATATATTTAGATTTTATTTTTCTGTATGTGTTTGTAATGGATATTATTAAGGTTCTATTGTCAGACTTGCTACATACACGATACGACTGGGCTGTGAAGTTACAGGATAGGAGGCATGATATCTTAGCCCTTGGGAATGGCAACCGAGTGGTATCGGTACGTTACGGTATCATCACGTTATCATATGACACCAGATATCATGTCACGTGATAACGTGTAGTGCTATTATATTAAAATAGACGACGAAACTGTTACCGTTCAGTTGTTTTTCATACGTAATTTTTTTATACCTAAGCAAATTTAAATAATTAGTGATATAATGATTGAAGATAAAATTAAATAAAATTAGAGATAATCAGTAAATAAAATATATTTAATATACTTTAGATATCTACTTGCATTAATAAAAGTAGATTAAAAAAACATTGAGGTATTAAATTTGTTACTACAGATTTCTCGCAATATTTTTCTAAATAAAATGAAAATATCATGGCGCTATGTTACCCCCACTTATAAATCCCAAAGGATATAAGTTCGAATCTATGAGGTTATCTTACAATTTTATTTATTTCTATTCAATTCATCGAGATCTCTCTGGTAATTTGTCTATGCGTAAAGCAGCCGCTTTATATTAATTATAATTGTAATTTGAATTTCAATACTCTCTGAAATGTGTTATTAATATGCTAAACTAAGGTTCTGTTGAGGCGTTCATTTTGATTGCAAATAGATTCACTCTCTCACTGAATACTTAATGTAATCTCCATTCAACGTAATGTAGTTAATTCTACACGCACCGGTACTAATTCAAGGGCAAGGGGTATTAGAGTGGTGGGGGTTTAGTAATGGGAGTAGTGGACTCATTGCTTTCAAAAGAAATTCAGTTAAGTTTCTTGCCAGAGCAGTGACTGCACTGGCAAGAAACTTAACTGAATTTCTTCTTCTCTCAGTTCTCAATTGGAATGCATAAATTGTTGTAACTGGCTAATAAGAAATGTATTTTATATTCTAAATTCTGTAATTCCATTTATTGTACACTCTTGTTTGTTACTTCACTTTCATTCTATTCTGTTGTGTCAGTAGTCTATCCTAATGTAAATTTTTCTCCGTATACCAAATCCTTTTCTTTTTCTTACCTGTACAAATATAATAAAATACAACAATAATGAAGACCCGGGATGCCAAACCTAGAATCCTCATGCAAGGGAATTTTTAGACATAGACCTACCTATATAAGTAAAAAAAAACTGGCTTTTATTTAAAAAAGAAATAAGATATTCAATCGATTTTCTTGCCAGTTCTTCTTAATTGAAACTATACACTGAACTGTGGACGGTGGGGAGAAAATATTAATACAATAAACTTGACGTTCATATGTGGCTAAATTGTCCTACATGAATAAATTAATTTGATTTCATTTGATAATATATTAACGTTTGTATCATATTTTTATGTATAGGTATATACTTTCATTTATTATGGCACAAAATAGTCGATACATATACCAATATTTAAAGTGGAATTCTATTCTCTGCAATTAGCCAGTCATTTGGGCCGCTGTGCGTGTAAGTCGATACAAAGATATAAGTAATCAAATTTAACAATTGTTAATAGAAAAAACCCATATATATATCATTACATAGTATAATTATATATATAATCATTCGCCAAGGTTGATTTTGTAATATAATAATAATAACCGTGGACAATTCACACAACGCCATCTAGTCCCAACGTAAAAAGAGCTCGATTATGGGTACTAAGCACCTGATACTTTCATACATTTTTATGCGTAAATAATATAAGTGGAAAACACCCAGACAGATACAAATAATCGTACTCCTGAATACAAATGTACCGTTGGAAGACTCGAAACTGCGACCATCGGAAGTAAAGAGGTGTGATTACCGCTAAACCGTCGACCCCATTATCAGTTATTAACTCATTTTATTTAACTAAGGACTAGATAGCAATGTAAATGAAATATTTATATGTCATATCTTTGATGGTATCGATTGTCTAGCGGTTTAGCACATAGCCTTACTTACAATGGTCGCCGGTTCGGTTCCCGTACGGCATAAACATTTGTATTCATGAGTATATTTGTTTGTATCGGTCTGGGTTTTTTTTATATATATGTATGTATTTACAAAAAAAAATATTTATGTATATGTATCCGTTATCTAGCACCCATAACACAAGCTTTAGCTAGCTTAACTTGGGTCTAGATGGTGCTGTGTGAATTGTCTTGATATTATGATTAGGTATGAGATTATGTATAATAATAATAATAATAATGTTTTATTTGTACAACCACAAGATTACAATATTAAAAAGGAGCATTACGTTATAGTTGAAGGTAGTTAACTAGGTAATCAAATGGCAGAATGAACCTAAAATTCGCCTCATTAGGCGAATGAGGCTAATGTTAGCTTCATTATGAATAATACACACAGCTTGTATTATTCAAAAACGTACCTTAACTTCCAATATACATAAATAACGATAAAATCGTATACAATATAGGCAAAAAGAAAGAAAAGATTAAGCGCAATCAAACCGCTGAAGCGACACAGCGGGACGCACGCCACCGAATTAATCAACGGGCAAAAGTAAGCAAAACTCCCCAACGGGAAAATTTAAAAATGCCCAGAAACGGGGAGACACGGCGTATGGAGAAATAAAACCATAGCTCCCCATAGTCATTCTGGTGGTGACGGCGAGGAAGCGGTATTTTCTTTTTCTTTTTGTTACCGTTGTTTACTGTCATTTATTGGAGACTTGTTTGTTAATGTAGCTGAGTTTTATTTAGGTAGATACTAGCTGTGCCTGCGGTTTTATCCGCATGAAATCTATACTCTATGTGTTATTCTGATGTGTAAGCTATATAACTGTAAAGTTTCATCAAAATCCGATTAGTAGTTTTTACGTGAAAGTGTAATAAACATCTATTCATCAATCCATAGTTATAGACTTTCGCGTTTATAACTATAATAATAGTCAGATTTATCTCGTTTATATACCAATATATAATTAATATAAATTTGTATACTCTATTTGCATAAGTAAAAGCATATCATACATCTATAATACAGTGATTCCCTAGCACAGATGGTACGGCCTATAAATTAGTGACATTGTGTAAAAATGAATAAATATATTATATAATGATTACTTTTGATGATTTGATGAAATCCTTTACTGTACGAACAGCACGCCTATGGAATTCACTCCCCACAGAGATTAGACTATCGCCTTCGATCAGTTCTCTTAAGAGGCACCTTATTAAGCTCTGGAGTCATTCTGAATCTGCGCTTTTTTAATGCTCCACTTATTTACATTATTTTTCTTTTCCTTTCTGGTGTGTGTATGTGTATATGTATGTGTATGTGAATGTATATATGTATGTATGTATATATATATATATATTTTTGTGTATTTTCTGTATATATTATTGTCTATATATGTCATTGTGACGCGTTATTTATTGTACCTATTTCCACCACTGCGCAATTCCTCTCAGTAACTCAAAGGTTGACTGGAAGAAATCCCTCTTCTGGGATAAGTCCGCCATTGTACGCATGTTTCTTTTTCTAAGTCAATTGTGTCCTTTTATTTATAATATTATTGTACAATAAAGTATTACAAACAAACAAACTTTCATGCATTGAAAACTGCATTCAAATAGGTTAAGCCGTTTCAAAGGTCAAATCAAAAACAGACATGAACATCAGTGTTTGGTTCAACTACGTTGATAAGGTTCTTCAATAATATTTTTTCTCACAGAGTAACAACAATAATCGTATATGTACATTTTTATTGTACGTATGTTTCTAAAGTTTATATAAACAGACACTCTAATCTGGAGATATTGTAATACTTTTGATGCCGTTATTTTGTAGTTAAAACTCACCTTAGTAGGTATAGGTAGAAGCAAATATATTTTGGTATAGATTTTCTTATCACTGTTGCCAGTCTCTAGTACTTGTTTTTATGTACAGTAGCTATGCGTTTAGATCTATTATTGGCTAACTGTTTCTTATACACATTTGTTACTTGTTGCTAATTTTCTCAATAGATAAATATGTAGGTATGTATTGCAAAATTAGGGACTTATTTGAGTTAAAAGTAAGAATATGTTCATCCCCGTGATATAATCTATTTCATATTAAATTTCATTATGATCAGATCAGCAGTGAAAATGTTACATACAAACAGACACACAATGGATATATGTATATTGGACCAACTTAAAACAATTGGAGACACACTGCTGCAAGCGACTGCATACCCAACATTCAATGTAGAGTTTGTTTGATTTTTTAAAAAGAAGCAGACATTACCA